AGAGAGAGAGAGAGAGAGAGAGAGAGAGAGAGAGAGAGAGAGAGAGAGAGAGAGAGAACTCAGAACTCCTTGTTCTGGCATATAACTCTCTACATCTCAAACAGCCCAGACTGCTCATCTCTTGCCCAACACACAGCAAGAAGAGGACAAGAAGAGGATTTCATGGAGGAGAGAACGCGGAGACAGGGTGGTAACGCTGTTCTCTTGCGCTCGTCTTTACCCATGCTCTTCCCTTTTTCACCCCTTTCCGCACCTCTCTGTGCAACTCTCTGTTTGCACCTCTCTGTGCATCTCTCTGTGCACTTCTGTACCTCTCTGTGCAGCTTGACGACTGGTCAAGACTCCTGTCCCCTTTTGGAGGCTGGAAGATGATGCCTCCTGTCAGCTTTTGATCCCATTTGAATTTGGCAAGTTTGCTCTCTGAAATAGTGTTTTCGAACCCCTCTGAGAGCCGCTCTGTGCACCTCTCTTGCACCTCTCTGTGCACCTCTCTTGCACCTCTCTGTGCACCTCTCTGCGCACCTCTCTGTGCAGCTTGACGACCGGTCAAGACTCCTGACAAGTGTTGGAGACTGGAAGATGATGTCCGGTGTGGTCAGTAGGTTGCGGATCAATGTATTTGGCTCGAGTAAAAACGGCAACGGCATAAAAGCGATACTGCAGCTGAGAGACGGAGCAGCGATCTGAATAGCAGCAAAGCAGCAGAGGCATTACAGCTGCAGTGACATGGCCGCAACGATGACATTGCAGCGGCAGAGAAGTGGCAGCAGCAGAGGCACAGAAGTGTAGTGATGACGTACGAGGGGATATGTGAAAAGGAGGAGGTGCAGAGGCAGTTGTTAGCACAAACAGGTGCTCTGTATGTGGACAACCATCGGTTGATCCGGCAAAGCGGCACTCCCGCTGGCGTCTCTCCCCTACGTAGCAAACATGATTCCTCTTTGGTGCATTTTGTTCCTGTTTCTGCTCGGGTTCGTTGTGCTGTATTTGTTAGCTGTGGAGTTCGTGGGATTCCGCTTTTTGTCACCGCTGTCTAATCGCTGAGGTGAGGTTGAGGTTGATCTGAAGAGACTGGATAGGTCAGGTCATTTGAACCCTTGGCTAGAACCGTTGGTCAGGAACTGGACGTCGCTTGACAGTTGTTGGACAAGGAAGGGTCTCAGCAATTGCAAGAATTTTGCTGGGTCATGTGAACCCTTGGTTATAACCGTTGGTCAGGAACTGGACGTCGCTTGACAGGCGTGGGACAAGGAAGGGTATAAACAATTGCAAGAATTTTGCTGGGTCATGTGACTCGTTTGTCAGAAGCTGGGTGTCGTTGCTTGACGGGTGTTGGACAAGGAAGGGTTTCAGCAATTGCAATAATTTTGCTGGGTCATGTGATAGAACCGTTGGTTAGGAACTGGACGTCACTTGAAAGGTGTCGGACAAGGAAGGGTCTCAGCAATTGCAAGAATTTTATGTACATATACGTGGGCGGCCTTGTACGCAAGAGGTTTTGAACAGGGGGAGTCTTGTAAGGAAGAAGATAAAAAATGAATTTATTTCTTCTTTTTTTCGCATTTGCGCTCTGATTAATTTGTGACGATATATATATTTTTTTTAACAGGAAAATTTCGACCAATTTTTTTTTTTTTTTTGAACAGGAAAATTTCGACCATTTCTCGTGCGTGTCATCCTTGCGCAGGGGCCATGCTAATCTTCTTTCTCTGTATCGTTCCAATTTTAACGGTGCTGGGTCATGTGAACCTTGGTTAGAACCGTTGGTCAGGAACTGGACGTCGCTTGACAGTTGTCGGACAAGGAAGGATCTCAGCAATTGCAAGAATTTTGCTGGGTCATGTGACCCGTTTGTCAGAAGCTGGGTGTCGTTGCTTGACACGGTTGTCGGCCAAGGAAGGGTCTCAGCAATTGCAAGAATTTTGCTGGGTCATGTGAACTGTTCGTTAGAAGCGTTGGTCAGGAACTGGACGTCGCTTGACGGGTGTCGGACAAGGAAGGTCGGACAAGGAAGGGTTCATTAATTGCAAGAATTGCTGGAGGCATAGAATCATCATAATGCCATGCACGCGTCTGTCTGTCGATTTCGTTTCATCTCAGAAAGGGAGCGACTCGACAATCGTCAGATTCTTTGCAGCAGTGATGTCATTAAAACCTCTTTGGCGAGAAGCACTGAGAACCTTTGGACGATCGACAGCTAGCTATAATATTCACTCCGGTCTGGAACCTTGATACGTTCGACAGCCATGGCATTTTGTCGTTAGCTTCCAGGAGTTGGTCTGATTCTTGTTCTTGCCATGGGTTGGTCGTCTTAGGGAGGAGGAGTTGCACATCACTTGCGACCTAGTGGTAGCAAATGTCCATTCATGTCAGAAAGGAAGTGACTTGACAAATGTCAGATACTTTGTAGGAGTGATGTCGTTAAAACCTCGTCGGTGAGAAAACCTTCCTTTGGACGTTCGACAAGGGGATATGACTCACTTCGGTCTGGAACGTTGCGCCGCTCGAGAGCCATGTGTCGTTAGCTTCAAGCAACATCAGTTGGTACTCTTGACTTTTGTTCTTGTCATGCATTGGTCCTCTTATGGAGGAGTTGCACTTTACGTGCAACCAACCTCGCGGTAGCAGATGTCGATTCATCTCAGAAAGGAAGTGACTTAACGAATGTCAGATAATACTTTGCAGGAGTAATGTATCTGCAGGAGCGATGTCGTTAAAACCTCGTTGGCGAGAACCTCCTTTGGACGTTCGACAGGGGGATATACTTCACTTCGGTCGCGAATGCTGCACGCTCGAGAGCCATGTGTCGTTAGCTTCGGAAACATCAGTTGGTACTCGTGACTCTTGTTCTTATCATGCATTGGTCGTCGTATGGAGGAGTTGCACATCACTTGCAACCTGTTGGTAGCAGTGGCATCGAACCAGGGATCAGTTTTTTTGTCGAAGTTTTGTAATTGTCGTGCCTTCGTCTTATGGAGGAGTCGCATACAACTTCCTTCCTCCCTGTGAAGAGCAGTGGCATGGAATCATGTGGATAGCACGGGGGGATCTCTGCCGCAAACCCACCAGTTTTTCAAACTTTTTCTTCTTTTTAAAAAGGGCGACAGTCTGGAGATGTCATCGTGAAACTGACCGGCCCTAGGTAATTCAGGGAATTTTGTTCGTCCGGTTGCATCTGGACTCGGACTCAGGAGGTCTTCATTTTAGCAGTTTATGGGTGTACCAACTGAGCTAAGCCGGTTGGTGCAAACCCACCGGTTTGAACTATTTTGCGTGAGGTAATCGCACGGCGGAGTTCCCTGTTTCGCAGTTCTAGCTGTGTTTCACCTTCTGTCACTTCTGGCATGCCGTCGCTTTGCTGGGGTTAACTCAACTCAGGAATTTCGTTCATCTGGTTCCATCTGAATTCGAACTCGGGTCTACATTTCAGCAGTTTATGGGTGTGCCAACTGAGCGAACCCGGTTGGTGGGATCCCACCGGTTTTATTTGTTTTAGGTGAGGTAATCTCACGGCTGAGTTCCCTGTTTCGCAGTTCTAGCTGTGTTTCACCTTGTGTTGCCTCTGGCATGCCGTCGCTTTGCTGCGGTTCTTGCCTATAGCATTTTTTTTTTTGCTTTTGAAAGGTTTTGGTGTCATGGGATGACCCTAAAAACAATAATACTCTGTTAATACAAATGCCCCGTGGTTGGAAGCGCTTGTGTTGGATGCATCTATTATTAGACAGGGAAGTGTGAGCCTTGGGAAGGTGCGTAGGTGGTTTTTGGAGCCAGGGAGGTAAGCTTGTCAGCTTAGCCTTCTTGTACTTGGGTCACCTGTGTCGGCAGAAAGTCGGCGGTGGTTGATAGTGAAGATGAGTTTGCTTCTGAAGGAAACTATTCAAGGTATTGGACAGAGCATTGGAGTGAATCTTGCCGATGAGGTGGCAGCTGCGCTTGCACCAGATGTGGAGTACCGGATGCGAGAGATCATCCAAGAGGCGATCAAATGGATGCGTCACTCGAAGCGATCGGCTCTGTCTTGCGACGATTTCAGCAGCGCGCTGTGCGTGCGAAATGTGGAGGAAGCCATCAACCACCGGCAGCAGCAGTCACTCCCACGCATTCCTGAGAAGGACGCAGAGGAGGATAAGAAGATGAAACCCGTGGGTGGAGATCAAGATGGTGGAAGTGATATGAAAACTGTGGGTTCCCTTATTTTCGGTGGTGGTGATAAACGCGGCAGGGCCCGAGACAAGGCCCATAATCTGGACGATGATGTTGTCCTGGTTGTGGACCATTCAAAACTGACATGGTCTGCTTCTGAGGAGCTTTAACAAAGAAGAAGCATGGGGACACTGACAACTGCAGCTTCTTGTCAGTGTCTCCCCAAATTGTCAAGTAACATTTGCAAAATTGACCTTCACTCTTTAATGCCAGCATCTCATCTTGTATTTACACTTGTTTGCCTATCAATTTCTTCTCTCTGTCATTTTCATGCAGAGTCCATTTCCGCGGCCAATTGACTTGCATGGAGGAAAGCCCGCCGCACCCCCCCCCCACTCCCCCACCCCCGGGCAATCATCGTATCGTGTATTTACACTTTCGCCTATCAATTTCATCTCTGTCATCTTCATGCAGAGTCCATTTGAGGGGGTTCTGCATCATGCAGAGTCCATTTGAGGGGTTTCTGCAGCAGGTGACCCCCGCCTTTTGTTTCCGTAGGCAATCGACTTGCATGGAGGAAAGTCACCCTCCCCCTTCCCGTCCCCATCCCCCTCACCCCCCTCCACTTTCTCCGTGCCCCTCACGGCCGGTTTTCCCAAGACTCCCACATGGTTATGGGAGAGAGCTGTAAGTGGTTTGGCTCGTCGTGTGTGTGCAGTGTAGTAGTGAGAACGTGCTAGCCTTTGGATGCTACTGTCCGAGCATGCTTATATATATGCTGACCGTGCCTTTTTCCGAACGCCAGAACTCTCAGGCCATACGTGAACAACCTTAGTAGGAGTTTTGGACCGCACGAGGTTGTAATTGCAGCCAAAATTCATTCAGGAAAGGTCCTGTGTGGAGTGTATGCCATGCAAGGCGTGCGCGAGTGAGGATTCGTAGCGAAGTCGGAGAGGGCGTCAACTTGCTTAGGCATTTCCTGTCAGAAGAGCCCCAGTCGTACCAGTAGTCAGAAGAATCTATGTCCAACAAGAAATGAACGGTGGCTGCGATTGGAGCATGCTGCTTCTGTATGAGATGGCTGCGATTGGAGCATGCTGCTTCTGTATGAGAGCCATCCTTGCATTCGATTTCTGAGAGTGGGAGGTTAGTGGACATTCTTGTGGCGGTCCACTCGTTCTATTGCGGCGGTGTCGAAGATAGAAGTGAACGCTTGCTGTGATCGAAGCATGCTGCTTCTGTATGTGGAGCCATCCTACACTGGGATATGGAAATGAGTGCACTAGCTGTGATCGGAGCGTGCTGCTTCTGTATGATCGAGCAACCTTCTGCCAGTGGGAGGAGGTCAGCGGACAGACATTCTTGTGGCGGTCACTCATTCTAGTGCAGTGGTGTCAAAGATTGAAGGTGGGAGGGGTCCGTTTCCTGCAGCTAAGGCATGCCCTCTTGCAAGAAAGGCGCTGAGGCAAGCTCCGCAGCCGTGTCGGCAGGCAGAAGAGTTAGAAGATGCCGTAGTTTAGATAAAGAAAAGCATGGCGACTGGGGCATGCTGCTGCTTCTGTATGTATAGAAGCCTTGGATGTGGTCATTCTGACTGCACTGAGTCCTCAGGTGGTGTCAACAACACAGCTTGACTTGCTGCTGCTCCTGTGGTCCTGTTGGTCAGGAGAACCACGTCGTAGTAGAGAAAAGAAACCTGGGAAGCTGGGGTATGGTGCCCCTGTATATAGAGCCCCCTTGCATGTCCACCCTTCTGGTGTGAAAACTCTGGTCCTTCTCATTGCAGTGAGCAGAGTTGCTCCTGCCACAGACCTAACAGCAATGGCAGAAGACGCAGAAGACTCCATCGTACAGAGCGAAAAGCTTGGGACTGGGCTATGCTGGAGGTCCATTATGCAGACACTTGGCATGGGCCGTCTTCCGGACATAGACAATCCCACCGCCGCAAGTCCGTTGAGGTGTGAGGTGCCGAAGACTGACGTTGACTTGCTGCTCTGAACAGGAAGCCCAGCGACCGCGCTATGTTGAGCCTTGCACGGGCCGTCTTTGAGATGTAGACGGTCTCTTTGCAGCAAGTCCGTTGAGTCACGAGGTATTTTAAGACTCGGGATGATTTTCTCCTTCTTGGGCCGTTGGAGCCTGCTTAGGTATGTCCTCTCGGCAGAAGACCTTCACAAGTACTGTCAGCAGAACTTCAAATTAGAGGAAAGAAAACCGGGGCACTACCCGTACCGAATTAAGTTTGTTTACATAGAGACTTGCTTGCATCTTTTAAAGGCAACAAGGACTCTTAACTAACTGAACGGGAAAACTCGGACCTTCGTCTCATTGCAGTGAGTTGCAGGGTGTTTACGATTGAGGACGGAGATTGACTCGCTCTTGCTTCAGCGCGTCGTCTCATTCGGGCTCCGAATGCTATGAGCAGAAAGGCACGTCGTCTCATTCGGACTCCGTCTGCTATTGGCAGAAAAGGCACAAGGGTTGGCATAACAGAGGTGAAAGCGGGTCTGATGCCGGGGGCATTTGGCGTCCGCTTGTCACTGATCTGAGGTGGCAACTAACATCTTCATCCGAATAGAACGCCTGGTCATTATATCTGTATTTGGTACGATTTTCGGCCTAGATACTGCGATCATGACCAGGCATTCTATGCGGTGGAAGATGTTAGTTGTTGTTTTTTTTTTTGTTTTTCCCCCTGTGAGTTTGGTGTAGGCAACATAAGCTGATGTTGGGTGATGACATTCTGAGACTTCAGGGTTAACGGGAAGTTTTTTTATTCACGCACCCTCGTCTGCCAATCCCTGCATTCGGATAAAGATATGCCAGCCATGTGCCTTGAGTAGGTATGACTCTGTCTTTTTTCTGACATCCCCGTGCGATGGATGATCTCAAAGATGTCAGAGATTCATTCGACGGTGACTGGCGTAGCGGAGATTCATTCAACAGTGAGGATTGATTCAATGACGACTTGGTGTACCGCTCGGTGAGTTTTTAAGTGGTGCGAATCTGAGGGGGGTAGAGGGAAGCTCCAATTTGGATTCAGAAGTAGGGCCCTCGATCCACCACTCACCAAATGTGTAAAATGAGAACGGAGTCGAAAGATACACGGTCATAAATTTTGTCGTTTGTGCTTGTGGTGAGTGGCGAAGCGAGGCCTATTCCTCGACCCCGACACTGCCACCAATTTGGGTTTGGAAATTTTGTCTTTTATTCCAGTTGTTCTCATGACCATCGCTGTTGTCATTGTCATTACTAACGACGATGATTACTGACGCCATCATTGTCATCATGGTCGTTTGCCGCCGCCGTTGTCATCGCCATCATCCTCGGTATCAGGTCATTCATGACAGCAACAAGTGCCAACAACAGCGAGTGATCAATAGCAGCTCTATGGGTTCTCACGAGTGTTGTCGTCGTGGTTCGGATCATTTTACTGGAAGATGCCATTTTTCGGGTTCGATGCTGCCACTTCGCATTGGCATTTTGTTTACATGGTTTGGTCATTTTCTATTTGTAATTTTGTACCTATCTCTGGGAACGGTCTATTCAATCCCCTTTCATGAAGGGGGGTGTACAGGGGTTTGTTCCTTCCCCCCCCTCCCTCTTCCAAGAAGGCTCTCAGACTGAGGGTAGTAGTGACTCTGCCATCCCCCTTGTGTCTGTGGGGGGTCATTCATCGGCAGCTGACTGGTTTTAGTCGATTGTCACGGTGCTGGTACTACTGCACGAGACCACTGATGAGGAATTTAAAAGTTAAGGAAATTCTGATTCATTATTTTTTTATTGTGTAAATAAGAAAGAGGAGTAGAAATGAGAAAGGGAAAAAGGAAAATAAATTTAATAAAACCAAAAAAAAGGAGTCAGATTTTGGTAAGTTCCAACTTCCAAGTCTTCACCCCGTGAGGGGCAAAAGTGATATTGAGGTGGGATCTGGGGGGGGGGGGGGGGGGGGGGGGGGGGGGGGGGGGGGGGGGGGGGGGAAGGGCGGGGAAGGAGGGGTGGTTGAGGGAGTATATTTGTCAATTCCGTCTTATGCTTCCGGTTTGACGTCATTGCGATTTAAAGCACCCCCCTACCTCCATGCCTCCTTTTTGCCATGGCGGATTTTTCTGCTGTGCGCCTAGTCAGAGATGAACCACCGCGGCATTCCCTTTTTTATTTTGGGCTGGCGTCCGGGAGGTGGAGGGAGACCGAGCCCCGGCCGAATGCGTATGTACACAAATTCGTCTTAAACGTTTGCCTGGGAGAGCTAGTGGTGGTTACAGAAGGACACAGGCAAAGAAAAAGAGGATGCAAACAGCACACTGACAGAAAAGTGTTGACAATATTTTGTTTTTTGCCATGGACTATGCCATGCCAGTACTGACGAGGAAACGATGCTCAAGGTGTCTCTGAAAAGAGGACCTAAACGAGCTGTAGTGGTGGGTGGTTTTGGGAGAAGATGGTGGGTGGTTTTGCTAGAAGATGGTTTTCGTAGACGGTGCTGGGTGGTTTTGGGAGAGAGGATGGTTATGCGGCTGAGTTCCGAAGCACAGAATATAATATAGGCTGGTCAGAATTAACCTACTTCTCATCAGCAGAGACAGCTGAAAGAGCTTTTTTCGGTTCCGATGAGAAGTAGGTTAATTAATAATTCCGTCTTTCTTTGGTTTTCAAAGGGCTACATACATTCGTGCCTGGCCAGTTTCAGGTGTCCCAACCAAAGTGAGACAATGCCGCACACAATAACAGGTGGCTTTTTTTTTTTTTGTTTAAATACCAAACTGGCACACTGCCGCACAGGTTTGCTGCTTCCTAGACCCCCCACATCAACCTATCTTCTTCTGAGGGTGGCGTTTCAATGTTTCTTTGGATGAGAAGTTGTGAACTAATTATATGATGATGGAAAGTAGTGGCTTTTATATATTTCTTTAGATCTGAAGATTCAGAACTAATTACATGATGGAAAGTAAGTGTGAAATGTATTTTACTATTTTGTATGTATGTGCAGATTGTGAATGACACTTAGGTCCGTGCAGCTGTGCGGATGACATCTGTAAAAAGTTTTTTTCTTTGCCTTACATAATATGTATTCCTTTTTTTTCTTTTTTTTTTCTTTTTTTTTTCTTTTTTTTTCCTTTCAAAAAGCATTCATTGGGCTCACAGAGAGAGTTGTGCTAAGCTTGGCAATGAGTAGCGTGCAGAGCTGCGAAGTGCCGCACTCTCACTATCTGTCGTTCTTCAGCCAGCCAGTGACGAGCCATGGTACTTCAGCCATTACACTAAGCCTTCTCTCCTTCCTTCCTCCTTCCTTCCTCCGTCCTTCCTGACTTTTGTGCATGAATGCACGTGGCTCACCGTGGTCACAATGTAAGGTGAGGTACATGGGTGCTCATTTTTTGGCAAAAGGAGACCGCGACTTTTCTCATTTGGAGACGTCGGATTTCTTTCTTTCTTTCTTTATTTATTTATTTATTATTAATGTTAACCTATTTATTAATTTTACAAACTAATTTGTTTAAATGATTTACACGAATGAATCGAGAAACCAGTTCAGCTCGACTTTTTTTCTGTGGAGAGTGCATTTATTTAATTATTTATTTATCTGAAGAAGTGTTGCGATTGTTTACAAGGTATTTCCAAATTCAGTTCAAGAACTGAAATGTCCGGCCAAGGAGTATTCCCCAGTGTATTTATATTTAAGTCGGGGTATACGCACACTGGCATTTCTTTTACTTATTTTTGGATGGAATTGCGGCCAGATGCATGCAGCTCCGGCCGTAAATGCAGTCAAATACCTTTAGGATATTGCAAGTTTGAGTACGCCCTCAGCTGGAACTGGAAACTTAGTTTTCGACAGTTTGTTTCCTCCAAAGATGAGGTTTCAGCATCCACAAAGAAAAAAGAAACAGCTAAAGACAAATAGAAACAGACAAATAAGTCAGCGGCCTATCTCAGTTGGTGAGGCATACAAGTGGCATTTGGGAGGTCACGAGTTCCAACTCCATTGGCCTCATGAACCTAACTGGGCAGTGGGCATACTTAGCGCCCATAATCGAGAGGTAGCTCGTTGGCCCCCTCCCAGATTGCCATTAAACCACCACTACCCTCGCTGGCCTAAATTCAACTTTCCTGGCCTTACGGAACAGGTGTTTAGGGGGGGCGGCGACCAGCAGACACAGGCGGGTCCAGTCCAAGGATTTTCAACCACGAACTTCGGTGATTTTTTGTGCTCAGAAGAATTGATGAAAAAATCTGAAAATTTGAGATCCTGTACATTAGGTTGTGATCTTTCCAGGATATATATAACCGACAGTCTGTAGAGTTTTCCATCTGGTGTGGGTGAGTGATAGTCTACTTTGATTTTGGTTAAGGTAGATTATCATTTACAGTGTAATCAGTGAGGGGATTCTGCAGACTGTT